TGTGTGTGTGTGTATATATAGTCTCTCTATATATATATATATATATATATATATATATATACGTATATATATTATATATATATATATGTATATATAAATATGTACGTGTAAATTTACAATTGCGGGGTTTTTTATGCCAACAAGGCAGTTGTTTTGCGCACAGTGAACGTCCTCTCAGTATCGATCTAGTTTTAACAGCGGAATGTGTCTTGTTAAGCAAGTGAATCGTAATATGTCTATTAATAGAACGGACCTGCCGAATATGCTAATTCCGTACTGTCTTACTCAATATTACCGCCAAAAATCGGAATCAGGTCACAAAGTTATCTACAGACTGAATATCTGCGCTCCTCTAGAGAATTCGGACACCAATCCCAATCCGAGTTCTCATCTGAAGGCGACACCGGGCAGTGGGGGCTATGATGTCACGAATGGTCTCAGTTTGGGACAAGCCAACGGTAGACTACGAATGGACTACGATCAATTGGTAAGTGTGATATAATTACATGTGCACGTATATTCGTATATATATATATATATATATATATATATATATATATATATATATATATATATATATATATATATATATATATATATATAGTATATATATAGTATATATATATATATATATATATATATATATTATATTTATGTGTGTGTGTGTGTATCTATGTATCTATGTATCTATGTATGCATTCATGCATGCAAGTATATATCTATGTATGTGTATATCTATGTTTCTATGTATCTGTTTATGTTTTACGTTGTTGCGTTCATTACCCGAAGTGTATTCATATTTCTACAGACTTCGCCTTGTCTAAATAACTCCAGATATATCGGTTATGTCTAGATAAGGCTTTCCTTACTAATGCCACAACAATGTATACCACACACATATTTATATCTACCGATTTAGTGACTGGGGCGTTTAGTTTCCACAACACCTCTATTAGTCTAAAATAACTTGGCATGCGTTTCAATCTGACGAACGTTTCATTTATTTGGAGTTTTAGAAAAAGAGAGAACCACGACACAACTATTTTAAGTCTAAAATATCTTGGCATGCGTTTCAATCTGGAAAAATGGTTCGTTTAATTGGGTTTCTAGAGGTAGAGAGAAGGAAGGAAGAAGGGGTCAGCGGGAGGGTCTAAAACCAATTGCGCTTATTTGAAACATAACTTTCTCGTGCCATCTGTTGAATATATGCGGTCTGTCTGTCTCTGCTTACATAAACTAGCATACACAAACGGAGACATCTCATTTGATCCATAACCATCTCGTGTCATCTGGTAAATACATCCGCTCTGTCCGTCTCTGCTTACAGAAACTAACATACACAAACGGAGACACCTGTGTCACGCGCGACGGCCGGCACGTAGCAGCCGAGATGGTGATTACGTTCACGTGCAAGCACCTGCATGAAGAGGACGATCTGGGATCACCTCTGTTTGTGCTCAAGACCAGCGAGTGTGTTCACCTATTTGAATGGGCCACCCCACTCGCCTGTGAATTGTATGTCTACAGAAGTACCTTTTTTTTATAGTATTTATGTATGTAGCGTTCACGAGCCTAGGAATTGTATGTCTGCAGACGTACCTTTTTGAGTGCTTGTATGTGTAGTGTGTTTATGAACCTGTCAATTATGTGTGCGCTCACGGACGTGCACATGCATGAAGAGAGTGACCTGTGCTCGCCTCTCTATGTGCTTGAGGCCAGCAAGTATGTGCGCTTCTTTGTATGGGCCGTCACTTTATCTAGTGAGTTGTATGACTAAATTAACATTAGTAATTCACTTTATATGTACCGTTACTTGTATTCATATATATATATATATATATTATATATATGTATATATATAAAACATATATACATATATATT